AGCGAAAAGTTAACCATCCTCAACGACTCCCCCATGGAGGCAGAGGTGCATTTCTCCTTTGAGAACGACAGCAAAGGAGAGACATTCCTTTTGGATCCTCCCAGCATGAGGCTGCAACCCAAAGAGAAGAAGGTAGGAGGTAAGCAGGTAGGGCAGGCACTGTAGAAGTGCTGTTCCTCCTGCTCACGGAGGGCTCTTTGTATTTTGTTTGTGGGGACGGGTTCAGAAGCTGAGTATTTGGGCGTACCCGACTTCTGCTGGCCTCCTGGAAGACAGTCTCGTCTGCTGCATCAGGGACAACCCAGAGCCAGTAGTCTTCCAACTGTGCTGCCAAGGGGTGCACGTGAAGCTGGGGGTCAGCCCCCAGGAGCTGCGTTTCAACAAGCTGCTTCTGCACAGGTCAGTCATCCCATGGCTGAGTGCACTCCAAGGCTTGTGACAAAGAGAAGAGGTTTGACTCTGGTTCCAGAGGCTCAGATGGAGCTGCTTTGAGCTGCATTCAGTGGCCAGGCTGGTGTGACCACTGAGCACTGATGCTGAGTGTCTTCCTGTCTCTGCAGGACTCACACCCAGACCCTGGTCCTGAAAAACGACAGCCCACTGCCCATGGCATGGCATCTCAGTGGGCTGCATGACCTTGGCGATGACTTCTCTGTATCACAAGGTAGGGGCATCGTTGGCCCCCGCACAGACTTTGAGGTGAAGCTGAATTTCAAGGCCGAGAAGATTGGCATCACGAATAAGATGATCCGACTGGAGGTGAGAGGGACTTGCGCCTTCCTGGCAGAGCAGGGCAGAGCAAGCAGCCATGTGCTCTTACGGATAGAGTCAGGAAGAGCTGCACCTGACAGACACAGGGGTGCTGTGGCCCCAACTTCTGCCTTTGCGCTGGGTTGGCCGGATGCCCAGGCTCTGCATCCAGAGCCTGTACCACAGCCACCTTGCTGCTGTGCATGCTTGAAGGCTGTTGTTTGGTTGTACAGACCAGCATTCTCTCTGGACCCTTTCTGGGATTTTTTTCCCTGTGGTTTAGAGGCTGCATTTCAGTAAGGATGTGAGGTGATTGAAGAGGAGGGCATTAATTGTCAATGCCACCTGCTCTGGGACACCTCACGTTTCTTGTGGTTGTGTTTACCTCCTTGGCCCTCTCAAGGGTGCTTTAGCAGCACCATTCCCTGCTGTGGGAGTGCAGAATTGGGCTGATAAGATTTCTTACTGCAGTAGAATCCCGCCGAGGCAGCCTGTGAGATGGGTAGGTTAGGAAAGCTTGAGAGCCCACAAACACTTGTCAAGCCAGGGAGGCCATGGGGGAAGCAGCTGGCAGAGGCAAGGACTTAGAGGCTGTCTTCCAAAAGAATGGTCTAAGCAGTGTTTGTTTCTTGCTGCCTCAGGTTTCAGATACGGAAAACATCCTGGGCATTGTTCACGCTGAAACTATCAAAGTCTCTGTGGAGGTCTACGATGTTAATCTGAGCATCAACATGCCTGAAGGTCAGTGGATGCCTCCCAGACAACACAGTCCGTGTGCATTTTACTACCTTGGCAGGTGAGCAACCAAAGCCCTTGGGAGGGGATGGCATAGCAGGCAAGGGTGGCACAGATACGTAAAGCACAGACCTTGCAAGCTGCGTGAAGTAAAGCACTGTCAGGGCACCAACAGCTTTGAGTCTCTCCCTTCTGAACTTTGAAATGTGCAGCTTCATGTGCAGATTGCATTTGGTGCTTTGAAACAACAGTCATCTGAACAGGCAGTTGGCTCAGAACAGCACATAAAGTAGCTGGATTTGTGCTTGGAAGCAAGGAAATGGAAACCAAGTTCCTTGGCTTCTACCCTGCAGATTCTTGGAGTAAGAAGAGAAAAGGCAGCCAAGTAGCTAGAGAACACTTCCGAGAAGGGACATCCAAGAACTCCAACTATGTAGCTTGTGACCGGGTGTGCTCAGCAGCAGCTCACAAATATTCACCATTTCTTACCTCGCTCTGTGGGTTTTCTACAGGTCCAGATGGCAGCTTGGAATTTGGAACCATTAATGTCCTGGATAATAAGAAGCAAGTCCTGAGTCTGCAGAACAAAGGCTTATATGACATTGAGTACAGGTGAGTCCAGCTGCCTGGTGCTGAGCTTTTCCTCAGGCTCCCAGGCCTGCGTTCTCCCTCTGTCCATGGCTAGAACCTGTTCCCGTGCTGCTCCCTTTTCTTTTTTTTCTGGTCCTATGCAAAGTCCTGGCTGCGCTGGTGGCACCTGTACTTTCAACTGCAGAGGTCTTCATTCTTTCCCTTTCTCCACAGTTTCAAGCTGACCACTGGAAGTGCCAAGAGGGGCGACTTGGAATCTCACTTCACTGTCCGGCCGCAGAGGGCTGTGCTGAAAGCCTCCCGGTCACCTATGAAAGTTGAGGTCCTCTTCCACCCCACGACTGAAGTGTTTCTCAAGAGCAAACCCATCCTGCTCTGCCAGGTGAGCTGCCTGGGCCCGGCTGTGTTAGCACAGTGTGTCTTGGGAGCATAAGCAGGATAGGTGTCTTTGACAAAGAAGGCTTTAGTTGGGGCATCCTCTTTCCTACATACACAAACAAAGACTTCCAAAACCATTTGGGAGGCTTTGTAAAAGAGCTGGAAATCTGGCTCTGGAAGAGGCCTTTAAAAAGAGAGGGTGAGCTGATGGAGACCTGGGGTAGGGTCAGGGGACAGGGGTAGAGGCTGGCCTCTCTCCTGTGTTTACCAACCCCTCCTCTGGTTGCAGGTCACTGATCCCAAATTAGATCAAGGAGGCAAGACCGTTGCCACCATCCCAGTGAGGGTGTCGGCGAGAGCCGTGTACAGCAAGTACAGCATCGAGCCTGCCTCGCCCATCGACTTCGGTGCCATGATTAAGGGCACCAAGAAGACCCAGGTCTTAATTGTGGAGAACAAAGGCACCCTCAACTTCAAATTCCTCATCCACCAAGCACCTCCACTGCCAAGGTAAGAGAAGACCTGCACCAGCCTTTCTGTCTGAGGAGGCACCACCACAGCAGCTGGTGTGTGACAGGCAGCCAGACCTGGGTTATTGTCCATTTGGGTCACTGGCTTAGGAAGAGGGAGCAAAACAACACCTCAGTATCCCCATGTGTGGGACAAAGCTGGTGACAGAGCTGCTCTGTCCATGAGCTGCAGCAGTGGGTGCTGCAGGCAGCTCTCCGGGGGCCATCCGGAGCAGGAAGGCTTTCCTCCACGGGGAGGAAGGCCAGCTTTGGCCTCAGACAAAGGAAGGGGAACTCAGCATGACAGATGTCTCTGCTTTTTCCTCTCAGTTCACAGCAAGAGGAATCTGNAACTCTGCTTCAGAAGTTAAAAATCTGGGGGAGGACAAGTCTGCATCTCCTTTTAACAGTTCAAACAAGGGGTGCAAATTGCCAGTTGAAATCCCCAACACTGGTCAGATCCAATTGATTGCTCCCAATAGCTTCTGGAGGTCATTTAAAGTTCGGACCTTTTTATCAATCAAAACTGATTGAGGTTTGATGGTTTTGGCAGTAATTTGGAGTCCGAGATACCTCCAGGGGGCTTCCCTTTGTACTTTTTCAGGGGATACTTCCAATCCTTTGGAATTTAGGGCCAAGATTGTGGAATTTAGAGTCTGCTCGACTGCCAGTTGTGTTTTTGTGCAGATCAATACATCATCCATATAATGGAAGATGATTGACCGTGGAAATCTTTTTCTAATTGGCTCCAACACTTTTGCCACAAACATTTGGCATAGTGTAGGAGAATTTTTCATCCCTTGGGGAAGCACTTTCCATTGGAAGCTGCGATGGGGTTCACAAGCGTTGATGGCCGGGACAGAGAACACAAATTTAGCCAAATCAGCCGGATTTAAATAAATGTGGAAGAAACAGTCCTTAATATCAATCACCACTAGGGACCATTCAGCAGGGAGCATAGATGGAGTAGGCATTCCCTGCTGGAGGGCTCTCATTGGTTCCAGGACTTCGTTGACTTTGCGCAGGTCCTGGAGAAATCTCCAGGAACCTGAGGATTTTTGAATTACAAACACTAGAGTGTTCCAGGGACTGGTGGAAGACTCCAAGTGCCCTTTGGCCATTCCTGATTGATGAGATCATTTAGAATTTGCAGCTTTTTGGTAGGTAGGGGCCACTGATCTACCCAAACTGCCGTCTCAGTCTTCCAGCTCAGTTTGGGCAGCTGCATGTGCTCAGTGACCCCTCCTAAAAATTTTCTTCTGTTCTCAATGTTAGTTGCCATTGCTCCATGGCTTCCCGTCCCCATAGTGTTATCGGAATATTTAAAATGTATGGCTGTAGAGATGCCGGCCTGCCCTCCAGCCCATATACAGTCAATACCTCCCGACTCCTGACAGGGTACTGCGAGCCTCCCACACCGCTGACTTTTGTATCCGTAGACTGGGCCGGCCAGCCGTACGGCCAGTCCTTGGAGGCTATGATGGTAACGTCCGCTCCCGTGTCAAGCAATCCTTCTACCTTCACTTTCTGTGGGTGTCTAGGTAAAGAGAAATAAACAAGACATGTTAACAGAGGTCGTGAGGTCCTCACTGAGGTCGCCCAATGGACTTCCTTCAGCGAGTCATTCCTCTGCTCCTCGTCCTGGGACACCACACAGAGAAGGTCATCCGTAGAAATCATTTTTGCGACAGGGAAGCGGTCCTCCAGCTGTACGGGTGGGAGATGCACAGTTAGACAAATAGCGATGTTAGTATTTGTTAGCCCTGTCAGGAGACTTGGAACTACAACAATGCCCTTTGCCACTGCCGAAAAATGAGAGATCATTAGGTATGTCTCATCTGGATCAACATTTGCAGATGACCTAACCCTGGCCAACTGCTCGTATGAACTTTGAGGTGTTGATTAAGGCACGAACCCCACTCAGACATGAACAAGTGCCAGAGCAGAATTGCCGTTTATTCAAACTGTTTAGGTTTAAATACCACGCTTGAACAGGTCACATGACCTTCCAACCAATGACCATCAAGTATTGTCTGAGAACCCAAAAGACTACAACTCCCATGGTTCCTTGTTACATTCTTCCTGCCACATCTCCCCCCTCTTTTTATTAACAAGTTGAGAAACAATACATTTTTAACATTCTTATTATAACCAATCTTATTTCAACTAATTATAAAAAACAGGGCCTACCGTCATAAGGCCTTTATTGAACTGTTGACAACTTTATTGGTTCGTGCAATATTCAAGCAACCCAGGGTTTGCAGGTGTGGGTAACCTTTTATCTGAGGGTGACTTTGCGTAATGGCATCATCTTTATTTAAAAGGGAAATGTGGTGGGTGGTAGATGTTGTGTTTGAGGTGGTGTTGTTTGAAGTAGTGTTTAAAATGTCGTGCTATAAAGTGTATTTGCGTTCA